ACATCGTGATAATGAGCTAAAATAAAAACACCCTCCATTTACATAAAAATGAGTTTTAGAGTCCCAATTAATCCCTAAAAACTCCTCCTACTGTTTTTAAAGGATAAATGCGAGGGAGATAAAGGAAACCAGTGGATAATTAATTTATTCCGTGCAGCAGAGATTTGCTCGCAGGTAAGTAAGTAGCTGGGCGTTCGCGCGTAAGCGCCGGGATGTACACAAGGCTGCGGGGCCTCGGCGCACGTTCACGAGGAAAAGAGAGAACAAACTCGAACCGGTTGCTCGCGATATCATTGGAATCGATTAAACGACGATAAACACGCGCCGCTCTTTCTCTCCTCCATTTCCGCCCTTCCTTTTCTCTTGCTTGCACGTGTGTTGTACGCGGATGCATAAACGAAAGAGAACAAGAGAAAGGAGTGGCTTCTATTTTCCCTTTTTTTCCCCCCGCAAATGGCTATCGTTTTCCATGCTCTTCTCGTTCTCCGTATACCAGTATTTGTATCTGTGCTTTGCTCTTCCCTTTGGTCTGGCTTTTTTCCCCTCTTCAGCACAGGGGAAGGGAAGCTCGCTCTCTTGCGATTTCATTCACGGAAGCGCGCGTTCATCAGAGGGGAATGGCAGAGGAAGAATTTTATTGAGGAGCACAGACGTGATTAGGTTTTTCATTTTCTCTTCCTCGGCTGAGCTCCGGGGTCTGCTTGTACCGCATGTGTGCATTGCTGTTGGATCGCGAACGAGATTGGATATATGTTGTGATAAAAAAGGTGTACAGAATATGGCAGCTGTGACTTGCGAATGAGAAAAAAGTGTGTTTCTTATATTTTTCCTTATTTCAGCTGTAAGCAATTTTTTTCACGACTTTTCCGGGATTATAAGACGAACACGTATACTATCATATGTATAATGTTATAAAAATTGTTTAGAGGATGTGAAATAAAGTAATTTTGCAATAAAACCATTGAGATTTATTGTTTAATTGATACGTGTGTCAATTAAAATTTGAAATTAATTGTTTGTTAAAGTATGAGTAAGTTAAACCAGAATTTATTGTTTGTTCGAAAAATATTTTAGTGAAGTGCAAACCAATTGATAATTGAATTAAGTTTTTAATTTTCAATGAAAATGGCTCCAATGAGGAATGTTTATTTGTTGATTTGAATATCCATTAGTTAATAACTAAAATTATTAGTTAAGTATTTAAGCTAGTTTGTGTTAATTCCTAATTTCCAATCAAACAGTAATTAAATCGATAATTGGATACCTTGTTAAGGGCTTTATGCGTATGCAATAATTAATGTACGTTTGAATATACATGTTTTTTTTGAAAGATCACGTCAAATATAAAATATCAACCATTTAAATTGTTTAATACTGATTTTTTTTTTTTTTTTATTAAAAAAGAAAGTTTCACGTGACTCCCTACAAACTTATGAGTTTCATACAAATGGGAATTTATGATAAGACGTGGTGTATATTGAAGGTACAAAAACTAATAATCGTAAATTAATTTTCTCTAGGAGAAGTGATAACTCTAAAGTACATAGCAGCGTATGCTACACATGCATGACAAAGATTTGTGAGAAGACGTTAAAAATACATCGACCATCTGTTGTGTTATCTTGTTGTTGATATCTTTTGTCCATCTATTTTATAGTAATCATCTCATAACAATTTTATTTATAATAAATCACGTAAACTAATGCCGATATCAAGTAACAACAACATTCCTTAGCTGAAACACGTTGAAATCTCTATACTGTACGCACAATAAAGTATTTCCCCGAGCAAATACTAAACATCCCAACGCCCCTGTAGAACACCAGCGCGCATAATAAGCGCAACATTCGTATCTCGCACTGCACGTAACATTTGTTCCCGAACGAGAGAGAAATTCTCATCTTCTTCCCTCTCGCGCATACCTCGCGAAAGGTACTGAAAAAAAGGTAAGAGAACGCGCTGCGCTTGTAAGCCTGCGTGTACATCATACTCTCGCCGAGTTACACGTAAAGGCGGCTTCGATCGATTCACCGAGCGACAAGACACTCTCATGGTCCCTTATCGGTGTGCAATGTACCTGTGGCTCGTTAAGCGCGTGGAGCTATTTTTATTTTACATCTCGATGAAAAAAAAAAAAAAAAAAAAAACCTAAAGTGTCAGAGTCGTGTAAGTAAGTCTTTTGTGATTGAAATCGCTCGACCAAAGTAAAAAAATGCACGCAACAACCGCAAGAGTCGCAGAAGAAAATGCACGTTCAGTGACTCTGGAAAAACGATTTGCCGCTTCCTCTCGTACACTCTTACGTACTCGAGCTTTTGCTTGTCGAGCAGCATCGCTGTGACCCATTTCCTGCTCATTTCGCAGCCTTTGATGAATTTATTGTCTACTTTTTTTGTTGTCTTTCAATGGTTTAACGCACCGTTTAAAGGAATAAGCCTTGGGAGTTGATGGATTTTCTGCAGTGCGCAGTTGCCATTTCCTTCGAAAATTTCATATTACTACTGCACTATGCAGAGGACATGTTTTGGATTTCATGAATAATGTGTGCTCGTCTAAAGATTACGTAAGCTCTCTCTTTTGTAGATTTTATGAATACTATTTGCCGTTGAATGTTGGCTTATAAATTTTAATATTTTATTATTTGATCATAAAATAATGAAAGTAAATGATTTTACATGATTTATTGATTGATTATTCGTAAGAATAAATGTTATGAATGTTACAAGATAAATAAACGCAATAGAGTTGATGTGTTGTTAAAATGAATCACTGTAAGGTGTACATTTTTTACTACGATGCACACAGTCATTTCCAATGCAGTGCACTTGTTCTTACGCCAAGACAAGATTAAAACGTTTAATCACTCAATCCTTTTGTTTCTCATGTTCTGCACCGAGAGGAGGAAAAACAAGGCAATTCTAGTTTCCGATTCTAGTTAGTCAAGTCAACCGAGTATGGTATGGCTTTTTTATTGCCACGCAAAACTCACGCCTTGAGCCGGACATTTATCTCGGGTATACTCTAATTTATTCGTCTCGTGGAAAAAAAAGTCACGAGTCATTTATATTGCGCTGTGCTCGTACTCGACCCCATTATTCAAAGAAAATTAAATGTTTAATCATTCGTAAATAAGTTTTTAAAAATAAAAGTTGGTTATTTATACCACCCCAATAAGGGTACGAGCAGTTACTCTACATACCATTACACTGTTACTCCCATCTCTAATTTTCGAGGTGATAACAAATTTTTTGATGATTTCAATCAAGAGTTATAAGCTAAATGTAAAACAATCTCACGTCGACTATGATTTCAACGAGTCGAATATAAAGGAAAAGAAAAAAAAGGAGGATACTCAGCGTACTTTTGCTAATTCCCACATTATTACCAGTGCAATAAAGACCTCTCGACCCGGTGCGCTTGAAAAAAACATCTCAATAATAAGAGCCCACGCCAAAAGCCCCTCGCGTCTCTCTTATCCGTCGCAAGCTCTCGTGAGATCGACCCCGAAAACCGTTGCATACACACACGAGACTGCGGAAAAAAGTAAAGCAAGAGGTGGCAGTGGATGTGGCTAAAAAATTGCACAACGCCAGAGGAAAGGAGGAAAAAAAAGGCAGCACGCATCTCACGGGAGGGGGGAGGAGGAGGAAGAGAGACCGCGACGTCGAAAGTTAATAAGCTCGTATTCGACACGCGCTCGCGGACCTTTTTCTCAAAGCGCCACGCGCACACGGGCCGACCTTTTCTCTCCCTCTCTCTTCCAAGCTGTTCTTTTTTTTCTTCCCTTTTAGTCTTTAGGGTCTTGCTTTAAGACGCACCGAGAGCGTATAATTCAATCTTCGGACGTAAAGGCGATCTTGAGCACGTCGTAAAAAAACAAGGCGTCGATGATGTTTTGCTTCGAGTCGTTCCGGGTTATATTGTTTCAGGAGGTTTGTTGGACATGTAGCGGCAACCTCATTGAAATTACATTTGCAGCAATAATTTTTGACAAAAAATTCTGTTATGTTTATTTTTTTCATATGTTATGCAGAGTTTCTGTCTGTTCCCATTATGTAGATCGGAAACCCAAGGTTGTTAAGTTCTTTCTAACGTCTGCTCTATTCGGACAAATAAACGTTTTTTTTATCGGATTTCTCAATGCAGCCATATAAGTATTTGTTAAAACTTAGAAAACGACTACAATCGAGGGCACCTGAATTTTTCTTAAATTTTTTGCCAACAATATCAACTGAAAGTAAGAATTGAGCTAGTTAGACCAAAAAAAAAATAATGAACAAGAATTTCTTTACATTATACTCTAAGATGTTTTTTATTTATTTATTTTTTTTTTTTAGGGATAGTACTCATGAAGCCAAAGCCTAATTATCTTTGTGGCCCTGTCATGTACTACTCATTCATTTTTTTATAAACTCGATGTAATCATAACCATTATTGAAGTACGTGTTGCATCAAAAACTAAACTTGGTAATCTTCATCTTTTAAAATTGATGGTAACATAATATAAAGGTAAACGTGATTTAACTATACGAGGAGAACAATTAAACAATTGCCAAGACATAAAACCTCGAAGCGACCCATGATTTTCTATCATTGGTAAAACAATCGATCGACCTCGTGCGTGAGTACATCAAATTAAGCAAACAGAAATTGTCCAACAAAAAAAAAAAAAAAAAGAAGAAAATAAATACCTCCAACTTTTCGACAATCATAAGCCGCACGCCACGGGTCACCCATTCCCGTCCCAGTCAACGAACTCTTTCTCACACGCTCCGCGTTTTGCTCGAAAAACCGGTGGCAATTAGTGGGCCCCACCGCATATACACGCTCCAGTTCAACAAACTCCAACCCTCTCCCTCCTTCTTTTACTTTGACTCCTTAATTTTTTCTCGCTTCTTCTGTCAAATTCACGAAATATCTCTTCGCAGTACGGCTCACGCGTACCTAAATACCCACGTACACACACACACACACGCGTGCGCGCGGGCACAAAAACTCACCACTTTGGTAATGACGCTGCTAGTCGCTCGCGGCCTTGTCGTCCTCGGCCGGCTATATCCTTACACAACGTGCTCCCTTTCAAGTAGCCGCTCGCCAAAATCGCCGTCCCAGCCCTCGTCACTCCTCTTTTTGTTTTCCTCTTTCCCCCCCTCCCTCCGCCTGTTTCGTGTATGTATATATACTACCGTCACTCAGGCTCGCGCGCACTCTCTTATTCTTGCACTCGTGCGACGCTTGGGGCTCGCTCGGAATTCGAGCTTACACTGCTGTCATCGTCGCGGCGCTCGTTCACTTAACAGCGAAATCACGGGTCGGCCGAGTTTCGTCCCTCTTTCCGATTATTTCGGGATGATTCCGTTCCACGCGAGTTTCACGCCAAGCCCCTCGTCGGTCCCGTGCAGCAGAGCACTAGAGTCCGTGTAAAGTACCAGCTCATCGAAGCTCCGCTACCATCGCGACCATTACGTCACACTCGTAATTAATGGAAACGATGCGTCATACGAATCAGGAAAAATCATGCAAGCAGCGATCCATTTGCAAAGTAAGGGGTAAAAAAGCTCTCGCAAGCTCTCGTCAACTTCCGTAGCGAGTGAGAGAGACAAAAAAAAATAGTGGAACGGCGTGTGTACCGTCACGATGAGTCGCGCGCCGCTACTGTCCTCGGGCAACCTGCCGCAATGCGCTCCGGTGACACGCGAGTCGTATTGCAAGAGAGTACAGTGCTGTCACGCGCCCGCGCACCCGCTCACTGCTGCTACTCCTGGTGTCCATCCGTGTATGCCAGAAGCGCGAAGCAGGGGCGCGCGCGCGCGCAACCCCTGCCCTACTACCACCCCCTCGCGTTCGCGGAAATCGGGTGTGCTTGCAGACTCGAATCCTTTCGCGCCCAAAGGGGTGGTGGAGACGACGGAAGGGGTGGTTCGCGGATACAGGTGCCCCTCGAAGGGCTGGCTCGTCTCGATTTTCCCGAGATTCACGGGGGCTCGTTTTCTTTTCTTTCCATGGCTCTTTTTCGAAATCGGGGGTTTATTGTGGCATGCCAGTGGAGGATGTAGAGTGGCGTTTGCTCCCGATCTCTCCCCCCGCCCCTTTTTTTTCTTTCTTACATGCGGTACACAGCTGCTTGTCAGAGGGGGAGAATTTTTCTCCGCGCACGACTCGTCAAAGCCAGGGGGTGTTTCGGTGACAAGAGAGTTATTAAAGGGGGTGCGCGTTTGTTCGATTTTTTTGTACGGTTTTTTCGGATTTTCCTTTTTTTTGGTCGTGTGGTTTTTTTCCCCTCCACAGTCATTCCTTGTGTCGTGTTGGTAATGATAGGCTGTCGCCTTTTTTTTTTTTCTTTTTTATCTTGATTGCGATTTAATAGCAGCAGGGAGTCATTTAGGTTTATTTTACGAAGGTGTAATTTTACGCAAAATTTAGATTTATAGGCCCACTTTTATGCCAAATTATTATGTAATCTGAAATTATAGGGAATTAAAATTGAAAAAAAGAAAAAAGAGAGGACATTTTGTATGAAAATCTTTGTTTTTTTTTTTCCTTTCATTTTATGGTACTTTGAACGGGCAATGCTCTCCTTTTACTTATGTACGTTGTACTATGTTGAAGCACGGTACTTTTTCATATCGTATTTATAAACGAAAATGATTCTGGTAAAAGACATTTTTTGATGAAAAAACAGTCTAACATTAAGCTTCTTTACAGTGTGTCGTTGCCACTCTACCCACCAGCTGACGGAAGATATGAAAAAAATATTGATTTTAAAAATTGCCTGTGAGAAAAACACCACTTGAATTTCACATCCTCCCAAATGAGAAAACATATTAATAATTGATCAGAGCTAATTTTATAAATGACCATTTTAAGCCTTTTCCACGGTACGTCTCTTTCAAGAACATAATACTTCACGAGAGATAAACATTTAACGGGATCAAACAAATTAGTATCGATATTTCACAGCCAGTCGAACGAGCGCATACGTATCGGGCGTCGGGAATTAATTACCCGCTATCAATATTTCTGCTCGTATCTCGTCTGCGCTCGAGAGCCGAGCGTAATTACAGAAAAGAATCAATCCATCCTGTTTCCCTCATCTGAAAAAAAAAAAGAATCACTCAATTAACGACAAGTCCACGTGCACACAGAAATACATCGTTCCTCGACACTTGTGTTTTTATTTTTCAATCTGAATAACAAATCGCATGGCACACGTCACTCGTTTAAAAGTTTCAAAAGGCCATAGTTCCCTGTCGATGGACTTTTTTAATGTATTCAGTCGAGGTGGAGGGAAAAAATAAATTCCTACTTTCCAACAACAGAACAAACAGCCACTCTTTTTTCCAGTGCACGCGGGCTTCGCTTTTTATTCGCTCGTGCATCGCCTTTTTCATTTGGGCCCGAGGGACGAGAGAAAGAGAATCGTTTGCTTTTTAGAGATTTCTTCAACTATTCTTATATGCAGAATATTCGTCAACTAAACTTCTTCTACATTAAAAAAAAGTTTTAAATGCATATTAAGTATAAAAATTATTATATCGTTACCAGATTCGACAGCTAAGTTGAAAGAGTAATGCTCTTAACAATAGCAACCTGTGTATGATTCAAGACAACTGGTAATACTCGGTTTAACTGTGAAACAATTACTCCACTGCAGTTACTATACATACGTATGAGTTTGTACCGATGTATTGACAAAAACAAAAAGGTTTACCAACAAATATGCTGTGTCGTTGTTATATATAGAAGGATCTATTTATTTTGTCAATATCCAGTCTACAAATTTCATGAAATTTTTTTACCCCTGGAGTATCTCCCTATGGAAGAGTATCGAGTAAGTATGGGCATAACGTATTATTTGACATTAAAAAACATAACGCTAAATGGTGCCACTGCCACTACCTTAGAATTGACTAAAAGTGGCGTGCACGGTTATTTAGCGAAATTCGACACTCACACTGAAGAGCTTAGGTTCCGTGATCGACCCTGCGTGTACAAGCGGATATTTTCACGAAAAGCTACGGCGCATCTCCTAAATGCTCTTATAAGTTCAAGTGTTGATGTACGCTGCTTCATTAAATATTCGACACTAATGAGAGTCTTAGATTAAGTGACTTTTAAGAGTTACTATGAATATCAGATGCGATAAGGAAATTTATGGTATTTCACACAAAGATCATGACAACATTTTCTCGAGGCTTTGAACTCTAAAAGATTTAGGTTGAAATCTATTATATTAATACTTGTAAGAATCTAAACAATAATAATAACATTTGATATAGTAATTAAAATTTTTCCAAACAACTTATTATTTCTTGATAAGTTTTATGAAGAATTACCAATCAAAAATAAAAAATACCACAAGTCCATCGAAAGAATTGTCCAATTTTTTGTGCGCAGTTAAAAAACATTGTTAACAATTGAACGCAACGACTCCCGTAATCAATATTTTTTCAAATAAATTTTTTTTTTGTTGACCCAAAGTGAAATCATTCAAGGAATGAAATTAAAATTAAAACGTTTGATTTTGATAAAAGCAACAAAATGACTCATGATTCATGGTACGTTTTGACTATCTATTCGTGTCCCACTCAACGATTATGGAACGAAATGGCACGTAAATTCTTAAAGACTGGCAAAAACAGAGAGCACGTATGATTATTTGATATTTGCTCCTGGGTGACGATGAAAATTCACAAACGTAAGCACACTCAAACTCGCATGAAAACATGGAGCATTAATGTATACATGCACGCCCAAGCGCTCGGGGATCGCGGAATCCAAATTTTAATCGTCCCACAGTCAATTAAACCACGGCCATATTAATACGGACTATAACACTCCTCGCTTTTGATCGCGAGAACCCCTGGAGCCCTCCTTCCCCCCGCTGTTTCTCCCATGAATATATAAAATATCTCCAACGCGGATGTATTCTGGAAATTCGGTGTAGTCGGGCAACGAGGCCCACCAGCGGGCCAACGAGAGTTTGAGGTCGCGTAATGCAATCCGAGCGTAATTTCGGCGCTGCGCTCGCGAGAGTCGCAGCGGAATGCATACGGGCGTGTATACATCGGGTGTGGGGGGTGTGTGCATTTGAACGGCCAAGTTGGCCCGGCAGACGCGACGGAGAGTGAGGGACGAGAAAATTGGGTGGAATTGAGAAGAGGACGAAAACAGAGCCGCTGGGATTATTTCGGTGTTTTTAATGCGATATGGAGCCTCTGCCCGAGTTTTCGAGCAAATTGAATATGCTCGAATGCAGTCTGGCTGTGGCCTTTGATCCATACATTATTCCCGTGAGATTGTCAATTTATCATCCCAGATGAATTTTCATTTTTTTGCGTTTTTTATTTTCGCTATCATCTTGTAAGTCTATTCCCGTTTTGGTCCGATCACATTTACTCCCCGGTATATAAAGTACATTATGTTTGTTGAATGATACACTTAGTGTTTGACAAGCCATATTTTTATCGGAGGTTACTAATTTAACCTTCTCAAATCAACTTAACTTAACTTAACTTCAAAGGAGGTAAGTCTGAATAATTTTAAATTAGGTCCTACCTGGATGGGTATTAATAGTTTACCACTAATTTATCTTATTTAGTCACCAATTTGTTAGTCATAAGCTTTCCAACACAAATTAAAGACTTGAACCACTGATTCAGATTCAGGGCACGAGATGATTAAAAAAAAAGTAAAAAGCTTGCAAAAAAGGTACCAGAAGTAGAAGGCTGAAGAAAGCTGAGTCGATCGTTAAACAAAAATGTGTGTCGAGGAAAGGGTGCCCTGAAATTCCGTATTCAACATATTCAAATACATTCCATAATACACGTGTCAGGGGACGAAAGGGGTGGACTGAAAGATGCACGAAAAAAAAAAAAAATAATAAAACGCAAAAAAAGAGGGAACGTGAAAAAAAGAGAGCTATGTCCGCACGGACCCACATGCATTTATCATGTGTGTGTATATGACGCGGGTGTTTGCTCAGTGGGCCAAGCTACTAGTCGTGTGTACCACATATGTGTACAATACTGGCTCTCTGTTTGCAGCGGAATGTTTGTGTGCGAGAGCATACTTACACATGTGAGCTGCTCGGGGTATCTCTCACATGCCGGCTTTTCTCTCCTTCTCTATATCTCCCCTGCATTATGCATACGGACGTGGAAGCAGCAGCACCTTTTGCAACCGTACTAGAGACTGACGGACTTGTGTTTTAGCGAGCATTTTATACGTGCAGAGACACAGTGGCTGTCTGGTACGTACTCGCTGATAGTGCTGTTTTTCCAGGATGAAGTGGTGTATTGGATATTGTAGATGATCGAAAGAGAAATTAACTCGGTGATTGATTTATATCATTGCACCGAAGGGTAACAAAAATTATTAAATTCATATAACGTGACTCAAAATTTATTATAACAACATTGTCACTACATTATACATTGGTGAGCACCAACATTCATTCATCGAAATCCTGCCACTTACAAAAAAATAATTTTTTAACTCCTCTTCGCTGTCCATCACACTTTTTTCATTATAAATGTAACTGATAAAAGTAGTTTAAATAAAAATAGCAAAGATACAGACTTATAAGTATATGATTTTAAAATCAGGTCAGAGATACATAGAAAGATACAAACACCAGAAAAAGATATGCATAAAGTTTAGAGATATCTGGTCTGACTGGCAAAGACATGAGCTAAGATACAGAAACAAAAATACCATTATACACGTTCAGCGATAAAAAAATAAAGATGGAACGCACATACAGAGACTTAGCTTTGCAAAGGCAAAAAAATGAAGATTTAAAATAGTAACACGAAGGCATAGAAATAATACAGAATAAAAACAATGACTTTGTCATAAAGACAGGTATACTGATTTGAAAATACTTTAAATAGATACATTGGCATTAAAGTAGAGACAGGATATCCAAAACAGGCATTATGAATTGGGCATAGCTTAAAGGTGATAGAAACAGAACCAACAACGCAAAAACAAAGAAATGGAGATGAAAATTAAAAAAATCCAAGATAAAGACACATACAAAAGTACAAAGTACAAACATAGAGTAGGAGGGACAAAAATTTAAGGATTTTTAGATTACATGTCAGAGTAGTAAAAAGTCAGTTGCAAAGATAAACAAAACGGCTAACATATAAAGAGTTCATATATTAATAATTAACCTAATTAACCTAAAATGTCTAGCAAATTTTTTAAATTTTAGTCCAGCACTAGTATTTGTAAAAAAAATATTAAAAAAAAAAAAATAATAATAATAATAATGATAATTCAAAAGGACAATAAAGGAGGTCGAAAAAATAAGCTGGTTACTCTTTATCCAAATGATCAAGCAATTAATTTTTTTCATAAATACCCAACCCTTTTATTCCCCCGTTCAATCTACGATAAATGAATAAACAAGCGAGGCCCTAAAGACCAACGATGCCCCCTCGAGCGTTTGCATAACACAGCAGCGTTTACGACTCGTTCATCGCGAACTTGCGCAGTATCGTAATGCCGAGAACGCGGGCGGAGGTAACAACACATCCGGGCTATACGCCGGTGGCCGTAAGAGTTAAGACCCGTGGGTGTGTATAGAGATACACCGCGCTTGACTTTGCACGCGCGCTACGGAGCGTGTTTGCATTCACGTATAATTACCCGCTCGCGCACCGCGGGTGAAACGCAGCTGACGAAACGATGCCCGCAGTTAACGAAGACGAGATGCTGAGATAATGATGATGGTAATAAGCGTAGTGGCAAAAGAGGGACGTATAATTATTTTATTTTTTTTTTTTTTTTTTATTATTTCGATAATAGACGCTTGTCAGTTGCGTTGTACAGTTGGAAAAGAGGAGATAGGTGTGCTGCTGTATGGCCGTGTTGTCGTTGACCCACGGAGGAAAGTTGGTCGCGCGAGTGATTCCAGGGATGTTTTTTTCGTTAGCCTCGGCTTCGAAGGCATAGTGTTGTACGTAAATCAGCTAACGGTGCAGCTGTGCGCTGCATGAGGGAGATGTACTTAACGGTCGCGCGTTTCCAGCCATGGGGTCATGCGATTTCGTTTGTAGTGGAGGTGAATGCATTGTTTTTCGTCATACCTCGGGTGGACGTAGGAATTTGCATTTTGGGAGATTTTTTTTTTTTTCTTTTATCGTACCCATGAATTAAATTATTCGCCAAAATCAGTGCGTGTGCACGCTTCGTATGGAAATTTTTTAAAAGCTTTCGTAAGTGAAGGTTGTTATTATCATCGGGGAATATTGAAATGAGGATTCGTGGTACCGCACGGCGCGAAACGACTTTTGATAAAAAAACAAAGGTTTAAATGCGTGCATATAATTAATGCCCAATTTTTTTTTTCTTCTTTTTAATACCCAATTTTTTATTTTTCATAATTTAACAGAACTCGGCAGTAAAAAATGTGGCCTTCCGGAGATTAATTTGTAGTTTTCAGAAAAGTTTTAAAAAAAGGCGTGATCCATCCATATTTGTGGCATCGACTCTGAATCGATAAAAAATACGCCTGCCAGAGAAAATATAATGAAAGTAACAGCCAAGGACAATAGAGACACATTTTATAATATTACGTCGGAATATGAGATTATTGCCTTTTTTTGCGCAGAATGGCAGAGCATGAAAGCGACGGATGTGATAGTGATAAATCCAAAAGAGGAAATGAAAGAGGAGAGAACTTGTGATTATATAAAAAATACTCTAAGAGCCTTCCAAAATGAGGCATTTTTCGAGCAAAATGAATATTAGATGGTTGTGAATCAAACTAGTTTTTAAGAGTCTGCCGAGCCGCGCGTATCGTTGATATTGCATTTTCAGTGGCGAAAAAAAAAAAAAAAAAAAAAAAAAAAACCACTGTTGTGATGAAAATACCATTGTTCGTCCTGTCGTGTCTCTTCGCAAATGTCAAGATGCAAAAGTTCGGAGAGTTCAACTTTACGAGTGAGTGGATGATTTACACAAGGGACACGTACTACTCTCCAATGATCGCAAAAGTCCAGGAAAGCCTGATCTTCGTTACCTTTCCGTTGAATTTCAGCATAAAACTCGAGTCCTCAAGGTTACTGGGCAAACCCTGCGAAGTGCCTGTACCCCAGATAAAAAAGCACCGAAACAAAGTCGTCCCAGTGTTTGCGGAAGGTATGGGGAACGATAACGTGCTCGTAGCCGTACTCGAGGCCAAATCGAAGAAGGAAGCGAACTTTACTAACGTCTGGCTGTACGTGATCGATCCGCAAAAGTGCACCTACGATTTTACCAACATAATACTCGATGCTCCCTTAATAATTGCGAAGAACATCATTAACATAGTTCTGTACAAGGATTGCTTCGATTTTTTTTTAAAAAGCAATGTTTACTGCGTGCCAGAGACCATATGTAATTTTAGATACGGCAACGATTTGACTTTGCTAAATGATTACCAGAAACTGATGCTTCCTTACGAAGACGAGAACTGGAATTTGATGACAAAGAAGGATTTCGATGCCAGTGACGGTGGGTTATTTGATGATTGAATCGTAATTATTTTAAAAAAATGAACTAAGAATAACATAAGCATTTTTTTCTATTTCATAAGAAAGTAAAATTAATCACGTATCAAAAAATTTCAAGTTTAATGTGGCAAATGTGATGTTAATAAGTATACACGTATGCAACACGTCATTTTTTGAAGAGCTTTAATTTACAAAGACACATCGATGATATCAAAAAATCAAGAGTTAACGAGTGAAAATTTATTTTGTATGGTAAAAAAAAAAAAAGTTTAATTAAACGTTCTTCCTCAGGTTACCTGTACATGATAATGAACACGAAACTGAACAGCTCAGTGCTGCGCTACTACGACTCGAAACTCAGCCAGACGCGGGAGCTCCGTCTCAACTACGATGACAGCCTGGTGTATTGGTACGATGATGATGCCGGCAGCGCGAGCACGTGCTTTCGATTTTCGGACCAGGAGCTCGAGTGCATGCTATTGGACGGCAGCATGGGCATCGAGGTTGCGGTTAATCTCTACTACGACAGCTTCCTCCAGTACTACTCGATTATCCGGCTCGGCTCGGGCGAGGCTCTCGTGGTGACGATCTTGAGCAACGATCCCGTCGGCACGTACCCGGTGACCTATGTGCAGCTGATCAATAGGTTGGGCGAAGTCTCATCGCCGATCAAGTTCCAGGAGTACGTTTGCGAGAACGTTTTCGAAATTAATACCTTCAAGATCAGGGAGGGTTTGTTTTGCGTCAGCACTACATGCTCCGCCGTCGTCAACAACAAGTGCATCGGGCCGGCCGACCAGCTTGGGTTTTAGTGGTGCATATGACGATTCGTGGCTCGATGCAATTGCCAGATATGCGCACAAGGTCAATTGGTGTGGACGAATTTGAGATTCATGAAGTGTTGTAGCGATGAAAATTGATATTAACTAAGTTGCATAAAACAACTATTGACCAAACAATGACTCTTGTGCAATAAAAATAGGGAATAGTTGTACATTTTTGTAGTTATTATAATTAAATAATTTAAAGTGATGATTACACTGAATACGATAAATACTGTCACGGTGAACAATGTTATAAAGAAAATTATGAGAAAAATCATGCTGCCACATTTTAACTCATGACTATAGATGATATTTTAATTTTTGTATTTGTTAAGTTTCAGTTACGGCCAAATGACAACAATGTCCTTGTACTACCAAGTACGCATGTTATAGAGATATACCACGGAATATTGATATTCGCTCTGATAAAAAAACAGACACCATACCTATACCTTAATTATTGACCATTCAAACTGCAGTTCATTACCACGATAGATCAGTTAAAAAGAAAAAAACATCGAGTTCCTGAATCGGTTAGTCAACAATGGCAATAAAATTCCTGCACGTGCGGCAAGACAAATCATCCGATAAACCGGGAGGAAAGAAAAGACCCGGCCTTATCTCGCCACACTCAGCCGCAATCTTTCCGGCGAGCACGCGTACCCGAGCTTTTAATTCGGGAAACTTTTTTATACCCTGGCAAGACTCCTCCAGCTTAAGTTCACGCGTAAACGAGCCGCCTTTACGAGGGAAGATCGTGGGGAGGGACGGAAATCCAGTGGGCAACATTCCAGGACCGCTGGCCTGCGTATACACGTACACACCGCGTTTACTGTATAGCCGAAGGAGCGCGGAATGGGATGTTTGGCAACTTCGGCGACGACGAGACCCTCGAGCAATATGTTCTTGCATATTATTACGTCTGCGAGGTCCCCCGACAAGTCCATTTTCGAAGCAATTACACCCCGAGCCGAGGTATATCGTGTGGTGTACTTCCTACGGGAGGGGAGTAAAGAGGGACCACGGGGAGATTACCCGACAGTAAAATTTTGACGTTCTCAAAGCCAAGGACTTGCTTGCGAGGGCGCTTTCAGAGAACATTTCTTCATTCCAAGCTTGTTTTGCGTTAACTGATACTTCATGCATCCAAGAAAATATATGTACATGGACATGAAAAGCTCCTCAAAAAATACAGTGTTATTCCCTGTACGGAGACATCTCCGTGTCATGATTACCACCCAAGTTAAGCAGAAAGCCCAAAAGTTCGTAAAAAAGCAATAAACGAGAACTATCTAAAAACACACAGGATCGTGGAAGTAAATGAGCATCGCTGCCCAAACAAAATCGTCTTACCCGGGCATTTCTCGCAAAAGTTTGAGGGGCGAGACGGCCTGGATGTACGGCGGAAACGAGCGACTATTTCCCCCAAGATTGAGCGGGACCCATCGACGGGGAGAAATCGCCCGCAGTCGGGGCGTCCTAATGGAATTACACGGTCCAGTCGGATCGAGGAAAAACCCCATTGTTTACGCGTAAAGGGTGGGGGGGGGGGAAGGCAGGAGTCCCGAGCCAGGAAGTCGCGCGGGGAGAAAAATGTCGTGATTTTTTGCTCCTGGGAATATTATAAATATACGGGCGAGCAAAAGGGGGGAGTAGAGCGGTAAAAGTAAAAAGTGGCTGCGATAAATCGCGCGCGTATTCGAAGGAAACTGTATGCGATTTCTCGGACGCCCCGAGACTTATGCTCCACGGCTTGTTGCTTGTGTCTGCGAGCTTCCGCGATGATTAATACACGGGCATTCAATTTCTCTCTTCGTTGGTATTATTACTCGACGCCAATGATTATTTCACGACCCGCTCGAGAGATGATACAGGTTGAGTTTGCTTTTAATTTTATTTTTTCCACGTAATAAAACACGTCGCTTAATTTTAACTCGTGTATGAAAAAATGAGACAAGCCGCAATCCAACCATGAAAGGTATCAATTATCCGAGCAGACGAGAGCAGAATAGGTCAGCGAGAGGAGGTAGCATGACACGAGAGGACGAAAAGCTCTGTAGTCAGCTGGTTTACCGAGAAAGAGATATGTGCGAGAACGTGTCTCTGTTTCTCAAACCTACTCTGCTGCTCTTGCCCCGTTGGTAAAAAAAAGTAGCTCGTCGACGTCCTCCACTTAAAGCGTCCACGTGACAATAAGGTTGGACTATCGTCCGTTGGCGAAAGCCCCGATGGTCCTGAGAGATACCACGGACCAAGAGCTTTCCGCGGCACACGCCAAGATACTACATGGAGCACTGCTCTTGGACGTGTGGCGAGCGGTGGAGAAAAAAAAAGTCGCGGTTTTGCTATACCCGTGTGCCTCGATCTTTCTCTCTTACCACTTGCTCGGATACGACACGAGAGATTGAATCGTGTGGCGCGTTTTCGAACGTGACGGAGAATACAGTATTTTTTTATTTTTTGCTCTCGTAAGTGTGTTCTATGATTTTTTTTTTTTTTTTTTTTCTTTTGTTTTGTTCGCTGGTGAGGCGAGAATGGGCTGCTTCCGATTGTGTCGGGGAGAAACCGAGCGATAAAGAGAACCGACTTCCCGGAGTGCGGTGTTCGGCGTACGTATATATCTACGTTACGTGATGTCTCGATAAATACCAGCGTTGGAGAAATTTTGCGAGCTGAATCGTGTGTTTCGCAAACGATACGATGTTTGAGTCCCAGCTATGAAAAAAAAAAAACAAAAGAAATCGTCACCTGAGTAGAAGAACACATCATCATCTAGGCTGGTATCATTGAATCAAAATAATTAACCTATTTTGCAAAACCTGATCATGTCAGAAACGAAATGATGTATTCTTCCATTCACTTAACGAAATTGCAGTGCTCCGTAATCTGTATTGCTCGGCAATAAAAAAAAACCATTGACAGTAAGAACAGCAGCCCTAGGGGGTTGTAAGCAGAGCCATTTTCAGGAAAACGTTTTCAAAGGTGAAAAAACGCCCGACAGGAGAGACGAGTGTTGGCCAGAAGGGAGGACTCATTGACCCGGAAGGGTATTTTTTTATGAATCGCGGGGGCAAGCGTACCGAGGCAAGCTTTGTTTCCCGACGCCTTTCCACCGGCAGCGGGCGTCCGGAATTTTTTCGCTCTCACACGAACGTTGCAGGGTCGTGCACACCCACGCCTCGACGATAGTTCTCAGCGCGAAAAAACAGGGACGCGAAACGACGAGAGAACGAGAGGTTGCGTTGAAGGGCGGAGCAAAAACTCCCCGTGTATACGCGTTCTAATGGTCTCGGAAGGAGGCCACGTGAAAAATAGCCGGGATGGAAAAAAAAGCGCGGGCTTTTTCTTTCAACTACTGCTGTGCTGTGAGGCCATATACCTGCGCGTATTTCAATTTTCTAGGGTATACGCTACAAGTTTACCGCGGTGGTACCACGAAAAGAAGTCGAAAGAGCGAGTGTTTTCAATGGTCGAATGATATCCGTCTTAATGGCACGTGTGCTAAACGATGGCTGTTCCTCGTTTCTTTTTTTTTTTTTTTTTTTTTTCATGAGCAGAAGGAGGGGGAGAGTGAAAAATGAATTCGCCCGAGTCGTAAAAAAGCTGGAGTGCCTTTATTCGGCAAGCGTGTCTTTAAAAGCTCGGTGATCCCTTTTTCGTCATAGTGTTGTTATAACAAGTTGGCTCACGAGGTCATATTTTGGTCGGAATGCGTTACATAAATCGTTGTTGAACTGGTTTTGCGAAAAGGTGGTTGATGGATCATTCTTTCGTTTGTGAGATGTCCTGTAAGTTTCACGGGTATTTATACTGTGCCATTCATAGTATGGTGTTGGTAATGAATTTGGATACAGAGTTAATTATTGTACATTAAAAACACTTGAAGCATTTTCATAAGCAATGTTTCCTTTGGTATAGCGACAAGAAATCAATTTCTCGTACCATACTAGTTGTACCAAAAGTACGCAAACCGCCTGCGTCTGTAATGTCCTTTTTTTATACGTCCCCCTTTCTTTTCAAGAAGCACTTCGACCAAAAGGACTCACCAAGGCCCGTCCTGACAAGAATTTACGCGCGAGTCGCTTTCCCCTCTCCCTCCACAGTGGGACGCACGAAAGGTTACACATCTTTTGTATGTATAACACAAATGGTCCACGGCAATGGCACTTTTTCGTGCTTCATTTGCTTTGTGTCAGATCTGAGGTATCCGCGCCTCCTCGTCGCTTACGCGGTTAAACGTGTGCTAGTACGCGCACGAAGTTTTGCAAAAAAAAAAAAAAAACAAAAAACAAAAAAACAAAAAAACAAAAAACAAAAAAATGGAAAAAAATGACCATCTCAAGAGCAAAAAACCTTTTGCACGTGAAACCTAAAGAGATTCTTTTGTGCTGCTCTGGAGGAGTCGTATTTGTTGCCGTTGCTTTGTAAAGTGCTCTGATTAAAAGTGGTCTTGAGTTTATTTGTTCTTATAACGTGAAATTCACATATAAACTACAATTTTACGGACTTCGTTCGATATAAATGTAAGGTTATAGACACGATAAAATAAACATAACTTTTCGCTACAGAGAGAATAGTATTTCTCACGAAACACAGTGAAAATAAAAACAACGACTCCCGTGACCCCGGCGCATCCTTTATTATCACGACATGTGCAACAACTCGAGCCAAATGAGCGCGTCCCTCCCACACGGATATTATCTCATCGCGTATAACCCGGCAGCACTAGACTCACGAGTATATATACCCATCCACAAGCTAGACTCCAGCAGCGCACGAGGCGAGTTTCTCGACGTGCCTTCCGACCTTTTATTCTCTCTCTCCCTCCACCCGCTAGCTTCTATCTCATCGGGTCATTGTTTCGCCAAGCTCCTGCGACAGTTTCTCTTTCTCTCCTGCTTGCTCATTTGCAAAAGTCTGAGCTCCTCCCGTGTGTGCATTACACGAAGCTCAAGCTACCGCAGTTGGGACACGGAAACGTCGTCTGT